ATTATTTCCTAGGCAATTCAGTATAACAGTGACTTAACGTAGCATTTACGTTGTATTGGGCGTTGCAAGTATTCTAGAGATGGTTTTAAGTGTAGGGGAGGATTCTGTATGCAAATACTATACCATTTTCTACAAAGCACTTAAGCATCTGGGGCTTTGGGTATCCGCAGGAGCCCTGGCGCCAGTCCTTCAAGCATGCCAGGGTACAACTGTGCGGAATACGCGTTGGGAGCCGTTGCGACACTGGTGACTATGTCTCCTGGAGGAAATATCCAGACGGTAGATTCGTGGTGTAAGCAGGTCGCGCGTGGCTGTCCGGGTCAGCCGGGATGGTCAGTTGGGACTCGGGTCACTTCAACAGCGAGACATCCGCCAAGGCCACTGGACTCCCCGCTGCCTCCAGGGGTGCCTACCATCCAGATGAAGACCTCACGAAGAGCAGGAAGTGGCAGGCAGGGCGACGAACACACTGATGGGAGACACACGTGTGAGTGTGGAAGCCCTGTGTCCTGAGGGAAGGCTTCTCGGAGCAGGTGGCATTTGAAGTCTTGAAGGAGAGGTTTGAGCGTCCCAGGCAGGTGAGGAGGGTGGGGGGTATCGCAGAAAAAAGGCACAAGTAACTCAGGAGCTTTCTGCAAAGTGGGCTCTGTCCAGTGGGCAGAGGGGACACTTGGAATAGGCTCTGCCACATCTTGGTGACTCGGTGTGTCACTTTCCTCTCCTCTCCTCAAAATGACCGCGGCCAGTTTCCTCCCTCGCCAAGTCACATTAGGGTCTCATGGGACACAATAGTGCAGTACTCAGCATAGTACCAGGTGCACAGTACGTGCTCAGTGATGCCAGCTGCTGTGATTATATTTTTATTGCCTACTTGGTAAGTGGGAAGAACGTAGATTCATTTAAATAAAGACTTTACAAATTAAAAATCACTGCGCACATGCTGGCCAGGAGGGCAGCCTGATGTGTCGGGAAGGATCAAGTAAGGCTATAAGCCTGGGTTTAATTTCTGACTTACTGTGTGACCCTGGCCAAGTCACCTAACCTCTCTGAGCTTCCATCTCCATCCGTGTAAAATGGGACAGGTAAAGGCTTCCCCTGGGGTTGTCGTGAGAACTGAAGGAGCTCTTAGCATGTCCAGAGCTTCCTATCATCCCTGCCTCTCTCCCTCCCTCCCCAGTGAGTCCTGGTGTTCATTTACCACCCACCCCATCCCCCAGCAACCCCGTCCCAGACCCCCATCCATCATCCTGTCCTTTGTGGAGGTTAAGTGGGTCCCCAAGCAGCGAATCCAAGCTCCCCCAAAGCCCTAGCTGCACAATGCGGCCCGCTGTTAGCGAGCAGCCCGGCTGGCCCAGAGGATTGGGTTTCAGCCCAGGCGGCCCTCGCTGGCGGATGCCCAGGCCAGCGGCAGGCAGGCGGGGACATAACGGAGGAGCCGGCGTCACGGGGACTCCTCTGCCGGGCCTGAGAAAACACAAGCAGGCTCCAGGCAGGCAACCGAGGCAGAGGAGGGCCTCTGACAGCAGCAGGAGGACAAGGAGGAGCATAGCTGCAGGCCCTGGGGCAGAAGGATTTTACATTAGCAGGGTCCCCTCTTGCCGACCAGAGGGCTGAGCCAGAAAAACCACCGGCTGCCTGTGGCCAATTTCACTTTAGAAAATCCACAACCTCCCTGGAGCCAGCCCGAGGCACCTTGGACATTGCCACCCCAGCTTGCCTTCCTTTGAGCCAGTGAGCATGATATCATCAGAGGAGAGGCCTTGAGAAGCCAGGGTTCAAATCCCAGCTCTGCTTCTTCCCGCTGTGTGGCTTTTGGGCAGATCTCTGAGCCTCTATGGCTCAGTCTCCTCATCTGTACAATGGGGTAACAGCACCAGCTTTTTCCAGGCTGTGTGGAATATTTATCAGGGCCTGACACCGCAGGCTTCGGTTGATGAAAGAAGTGATTTTGTTCTTCCTTTCATGAGACAGTGTGGCCTGGAGGCTTCTGCGTGTCCCATGTGGCCTTGCAAGAGTCCTTGATCTCTCCTTGCCTCAGTTTCCCCATAAGCTTGCTCTGAGATGTCAGTGAGAAAACACTAATGAAGGGCACACCTGCCCACAGGCAGCCTCCACAGAGCCAGCTTTGTGTGGCCTGGTCCTTTACATGATGTAAAAACTCTTTGCACCCGATGCCTCCTTGCGTTCTCAGAGCAATGCTGTGGGGACCATGGAGCAAGGATTTCGGCATCCTCACTTTACAGATGAAGAAATTGAGGCTTGGAGATAGAAGTGACTTTTCTAAGCTCGTTCATGGCCTTTCACTTTACCTCCCGGATCCTGCCTGTTGCCTCCCCCTGGAATTTCTCATTTGAACCACGGAAAGAGTGCTGTGGCTCCCAGTCACTGATAACCCAGGTCGGGTCCCAGGCCACCAAGCCATGGATGCCATCCAGGCCTGGGTCTGGGTTACCTCAGCCCCGGCAGCGCAGAGAGAGTCGAACAGGAGCTGCTGACCAGGGTCCAGAGCAGCATCTGCCACTTGGATCCCATGCCAGGCTGATGTGCTGCCTGGGCTGTGGGCTGCTGGCCAGTCTGGGTGCAGACCGTGTCATTGCCCTCCCGAAGAATCCTCCCCCAGTTCCCTACTGCCTGTGGGACTGGATCCAACCTCCTCAGCCCCACGTTCATCTGAGGTCCTTCCCCTTCAGGCCCTTCCTATAAGGAATCCAGGAAGGATTTGTTCCCCCTGCAGGGGACATGTAGCCCAGAGCCCACCGTGGAGAGCTGTCCTCGGGTTTAGTGTCCTCCACCCATCCTTGCATCCAAGCTTCTGCCTTCGATTCTGCTGTGACTGAGCCTTTGTCCCCCTTTTCTGCTCTGAGCCACCTTTCCCATGCCCTGGACCCCTTGCGCATACCCTGCTTCCAGCCTGGACCAGCCGTCCCTCCCTATCCCGCTCAAGCCTGGGAGCTCCTCGAGGGAAGGACCCGCTGACCTGTCCCTGCCTCTTCAGACCAGGTGTACGCAAGGTGGAGTCGATGCTTATAGGACGGTGTGACTTTTCTACTTAATTCAGTGGGGGAGAAGTCAAGGACGGCTGCCAGGAAGAAGCAAGGAGCCTTTGAGCTCAGTTTTGAAAGAGACGTTAGCCAGGCTAACAAAGCTGGAAGAGCCAAGCATTCCAGGGAGTGCATTCTGGAAATGTCAGGTCACCATGGCCCAAGGAAGTACAGTGCCTCCTGCAAGCAGAAGGAAGTTTAGGATGGCCAGACCCCCGGGCTGCGGCCTAGAAGGTACTTATTTGACAAAGTTGGCAAAACCTTTGAAAACACTGTTGAGGGAGTGAGGATTCCATGCTGCAGACAGTGGGGCTCCGAAGGTCTTAGAATCAGTTGAGACGCGATCAGACACGGGCTTTAGCATCTTAGCCCACTGCCATATGAAGGTTGGCTGCATGGACTCTGCCAGGCCTCTTCTCTGCACTGAGCAGGCAGTGAGGAGGCAGGCACAGACCTCACCCAGAACGAGGGCTGTGGGAAACATCAGATCAACCAGACTCACCCACGTGATGGCGCTTAGGTCTCACACGGACCCATTTTGCAGATGCAGAAACTGAGGCCGAGAGGTAATAGGTTTGCCTTCAGTCACACACTAGAAAGGCTCTAGCCTGGAGAATTTATGCCCTGGATCCTTTCTGCCTTCTCTCCTTCCCCTCCTGCTCTCACACAGGCCTACTGAGGGGGGCGGGGAGACACACACACATACACACACAATGATGGTTTTCTTGTTTTGGGTTTACTTTTTAAGTCTATGGCCATGGCATCTTAAAAATAACACTGATGTGGAAACAGATGTGGGTTCACTTTCTGGCTCTGCCTGTGTGCCCTTACACAGGTTCCTTCCCCTTTCTGGACTCGGTTTCCACATCTGTAAAATGGGGTAAATAGCCACACAGATCCCTTTGGTGGTACCGGGCCTGAAGCAACATTCAGTGTCCTGGCCAGTCCTTAGCACACAGTAGGTGACCAATGAAAGCTCCCTCCTCACATCTTTGGAATGCCCACATTCTTATTCATGCAGACAAATACTACCTGTGGCCCTGGGGACTCACAGTCCTGGACAGAGCTGGCCAGGGGTGGCCTGGGCAGCAGGGACAACCGTCTGCCCCAGCCCGAGAGCAGGAGCCCGGTGCAGCCACCTCCTGTGGGCCTGATGCTAACGACTTCAGTGTGTCTCCCCTTTTAGCTCAAATATTTCTGAAATGTACACTGCTCATTCACACGTAGCTGGAGGGGCCGACAGGGCCTCCCGGCCTGTGCAATCAGGGCCTCCTGATTGCTTTCTTCTGTGCAGTCTCCAGGAGAGAGAGAGGGTTTGGGGCACCATGGAGCTGCAGCCGGAGCTGTTCCAAGACCTGAACCCATCCCCGCCCCCAGGAAGGCACTCTGGGCTGGGGGCCTTGGTTCTAGCTCTTGCCTGGATGTTGAGAATCTGTGTGGCCTCATTTTCTTCATCTACCCATTGGGGTTTTTCTTTGTCTGTTTTTTTTTGTTGTTTTTTTTTTAGGTGGGCACTTAGAGCTTCGGGGAGTCATGGCTCCTTGAACAGGAGCGGGGCTCCACAGCCCACAGGCTCAGTCTCAGCTCTCGCCGCTGCTTGCCCCACGCTTTGCCCCATCCTAGCTCCCACGAGCCACACTCTTGCTGGCCCCCTCACCTCTGCTCTGCTGCGTCCTCTGCCCACCTCCAGCGGACGCCCTGCCAGCCTCCACCCCAGTGCCGCTGCCTCCAGGAAGCTGTCCTCGCATTGGGCATCTTCTCCCTGTCCTCCCGCACGTAACCCGCAGTACGCGCCACGCATCCCACTGTGGTCTCTGTCACATCCGAAGGGTGATCGGTTATCTGTGTACGATGACAGCAGCTGCCCCGCGTGAGGGATTGTCATTGTCACAGTGGGCATGGGGACGGGGACGTTCCCAGCACTCTCGAGGCGGCTCAGTGGGACTCGGAGGCCCCCAAAGCGTGGGAAGCAGAACAGTGTCAGGTAGTCTGCAGATGAATGTTTTTAATTGTAAGTCTCATGTTTGTTTTCCTTCTTTTTATGTCAAGTGATCTTGGTTTTCCATTTATAATAATGGTTACTTTTTTTTTCTCTCTTTAAAATGCACTTGAAATAAAAAAGAGTAAGAGTCAGCTGGAGGCAAAATAGTAACTAAGTCATAGTGCAGGTGTGGGTGGGAAGGGCCGAGGTCATGTTGTCTACATGAATAACCCCAGCCTGGGCTGCCCTGAGGGAGCAGGACTCTAGAGTGTGTTCAAACCCATAGGTAAGGGTGAGGGTCTTGGGGACACCCCCCCCCGGTATCTGCCTGTGGGGGGCACATAGACCATGGGAAGAGGAAAAGTAAACAAGGACGGTCACCACCAAGGACACCTGCAACTTCTGGGGCCCCTTGAAACACCCGGGGCTGCAGAGCTGCGGGGTGGGTGGGAGCCGGAGGACTTCCTAGTGGAGGTGACCTGAGTTGGAACTTCACAGGCACAGGAGGCGTGGAGGGGAGAGGGTGAGAAGGAGCAGTAAGGGTAAAGGGAGGGTGTGAGAGATAGTGCCACATGGTCTGTGCACGGGGAGAGCAGCTTGGGAGTGGAATCGCTGAGTAATCTTGGGCAAGTTCCTGAGCTTTTGCAAACCTCCGTTTTCCGCTCCGTGAGATGGGGAGTATCCAGTACCTCCTGGTGTTATAAGGGTGTTGGTGGAAATATCTGGTTCCTAATAGGATCTCAGTGGATCTGAGCTCTCAGGAAACGCCTGGGGCCGATGGGGAGGAAGGAGGAAGTGCAGGTGGTAGAAGTCAGCTTGGCTTCCTGAACCCACTAGGTTCCTGAGGTAAAAACTGTCAACTTCAGATCCTGCCAGGAACGGGGACTTTTGCGCCTGCTTTGGGAGGAACAAAGAGGAAACACAGGGCATCTCAGGAAAATGGCATCAAGAGTGAGGGAGGGGTTCCTCAGAGGCTGTGGCCATCCAGCGAAAAGCTGTTAGATGTTGGCAAGGGTGGTTTGGGGGTAGGGGAGCCAGCCAGACTAAACTGGAGCTTCTTGGACCCACCTTCACATTCAGGGCCACCGAAGGAGCCCAAAGGGAGTGGCGTGCGTGCAAGCACTAGGTGGGCCAAAAGGTGCTGCACTCCAGCTAAAAATAACAGCTGCTACTTACGTGAGGGTCTGCACCGTGCAGGGGCCCAGGCTGACACACTTCCTCACGGTTAGTCTGTATGTCCACACTCAGAAGGTATTCTGGCCACCTTCCAGGTGAGGAAACAGCCTTAGAAAGGGCCAAGGTTGAGATGAGGTGTAGCTCAGTGGCAGATCTCTTGCTGGAGATGCCTGAGGCTCTGGATTCCATCCTCAGCGCTGGAAATTTAAAAAGGCCCAGGGTTACAAGACAAGTCAATGGGAGGTTCAAGGTGTCATGCAGAGGGTAGAGGGGTGCACCAGACTTGAAAAGCAAAGGGCCAAGGAGCTGGACACCCTGGTGCTTGCCAGCAAGCCTAGCTATTCAGGAAGCTGAAGCAGGAGGACAGCACACTTGAGCCAGCCTGGACAACACTGTCTCAAAAAATAAAACAAAAAGGACCAGGGAAGTAGTTCAGTGCTAAAGCACTTGCCTAGCATGTATGAGACCTTGAGTTCAATCCTCAAGACTGAAAAAATAAAAATTTTAACTTAGAATTTTAAAAAGAGCTGGGAGGTAGTTCAGGACTCCTTGGGTTCCGTCCCCAGTAATACAAGAAGAAAAGAGGTGGAGGGAAAGTTACCAAAGCAGCCTGGGCCCAGCTTTCGCAGAGCCAGGCCCGAAGAGGAAGCAGAGGGGGAGCCACACACTTCCTTCTTCCCAGCCACCTGCAGACTTCACATCTCCTCCTAGTGCCATCCCGTGGGTGAACCAGGCAGCTGGGTTACTTTCAGTCTTTGCCAGTTCCCGCCTAGCATGTTGTGTGGGAGCAAGAAAGCAAGGCAGTGTTCCCCCTGGCCTGGCCTTTTGAGGAGCCTGGGGTTGAGCCTCCCCTTCCAAAATACTGGGGATTGAACTCAGGGCCTTCATACTGAGCCCCAGCCCCAGCCCTTCTGTTTTGAGACAAGGTCTCACTAAGTTATTAAATTGTCCAGGCTGGGCTTGAACTTGGGATCCTGCCTGCCTTTTGGCAAGTCATTTGCCCTCCCTGAGACCAAGTTTTCATCCGTACAATGAGGACGTCAGTTCCCAGCCCCTCCTTCTCCGGACTACAGAACCTTCCAACACTTGTCCTCTGGGTCAGCCCAGGAATCTAGCCAAGGGGTGGGGCCACCTGCTTGGCGGGCTTGTCGCCCCCACCCGACCCCTTTTGGTCCTGGGCGGTCTCTCCTCTCCCTTGTCTGCACGACTCCCAGCAGCTGTTCCTCAGGCCCAGGCAGAGAGCCCGGCTTGGCGCGTCTCAGGCTGAGGCCGATGAGAGAAAACAGGTGAAAAGTTCAGCCCTTGTTCTCTCCAGGAAGAAAAATCTGTAGCCTTCAGAGTGTGAAAAGGAGCCCTTTCTTCAGCTCCAATGCTGCACAATAGAACTTCCCTCAAATTTGCCATCAAAAAGATGCCCCTGGCACTAGCTCCACCGTCCCTGGCGCCCTGGCAGCCCCCTCCCTGCACCAGCCCCCAGGGTAAAGGGGCACAGTGGCCACAAACACATGCCACAGGCAGTCAAGGGGCCACTTCTGCATCCTCTCTTGTCAGCTCAGGGGTCTAACTGGGGTCGCCTTTAGCCAAATGCTTCCTCTTCTTCTCACTCTCCACCGCCCTGGCATAGGTCACATGTTCATTACCTCCCATGTGGGCTTTCTCGGCAGCCTGGACACAGGGCTCTCAGCCCCCACCTTCTGACCCTGAGGTGTCCAGCATGGGCCACCAAACTTATTATTTCAACAGTCTAGAAATGTATAGGGTGGGAGGCAGGACACCTGTACTTCTATTCTGCCACCGACTCCCCCGTGCCTTTTGGAGGCCCCTCCCTCTCCCTATGTGCCCGCTACTCTTTCTGCAGAATGAGGTGATTGGCCACAACTCAAGTGGTCAGCATGGGCTTCTAGAGTGCCGTGCTGAGGAGCTCTGTGTGCCACAGCATGTGGGGATTGATTGGTGACGTCTGCACTGGCTACAGAACTGGAGCAAGGCTGCCTCCAATCCATTCTAACTGAGCTAGGTAGCATGGAAGATCCCACTGCGATCTTCTGAGTTCCTCTACCTACATTTTCATAGCCATTTCTATTCCCAAGTCATCTCCACTGCCACACTGTGAATGAGGGTCTTGCCATTAGCTCTTTTCCTCTTCAGGGTACCCAGCGCATTGCCCAGTACATGATCGGCGTCAAGATCTATTTGTTGAATGAATTCTTGAAAGGGGTCTATTCATTCGATGTATTGCAGTTCAGTTCAAAAAGTGTTTTAAAGCCCCCTTGGCAGAGAAGGGGTAGAAGGGAGGGGTCCTGAGGCTGGTATGGGGAGGATCTCTAGGGCCTGTGGGTCTCCTTCACCCTAGGCTGTGTGACTCCTTCCCTCCAGCCGCTGGTCCAGAAACTGATCTGAGTCTCTTGCAGCCCCAGAAGACGTGTGATAGCTGACCCTCTTCCCCCTCAGGGACGGGGACGGGAGGTGATAAAGGACTCCGGACTCCTGGAAAGAGAGACAGGGTACTCTGACAGAATGTGAGGCCAGAGAGGCAAGACAGGGTACCTGGTGGTGCTCAGTGGTATGGAATAGAGACCCCTCTAAAGCTCATGTCGCAGTTTTTGAGGATTTGACATAGCTGAAAAGTGAACAGATACTCAGAATTTAATGTACAAGTTTGAAGGTCTGGTGATGGATCCCCAGGAGCCACCCAGAACACCCAGCTTAAGACCCTTCCCCACTGGAAAAGGAGAGTACCTAGGTCAGTGAGACTTGATTGCAGGGAGGGCGGGTGCTGACCGTGGGTAGAGGTCCTGGAATTGGGACTAGAGCGGTGGGACGTGGAAAAATGGAATAAGATGATTGGCTGAGATGTAAGAGTGGGTGGGGTTATAGGGTGGAGAGGCAGGGTCCAAAGGCAGTGTGGTCTAGAGGATTAGAGTTGGGTGACTGTTTGGAGTGGGGGGGTCTGTAAGGGAACAGCCTCGAGGGGAGAGATCTGAAGGTCAGGACACAGTGATTGACAGCACTGGGAAGGCAAAGTGGTGACTCTTTGCTCTCCCCACAGAAACGCTGATGGACTCCACTACTGCAACGGCTGAGCTGGGCTGGATGGTGCATCCCCCATCAGGGGTGAGTTGGTGGTCCCCAACCCCACTTGATCCCCCAGAATGCCTTGGCCTCTGCCACAAGGCCTGAAAGCCCCTCACACTCCAGCGCCTTTCCCCACTTCCGGGCCCAGAGTCCCACCTCTCGATCCCCTATCAGTGACGGAGCACCCATTACCATGGCAACGTGGTAGATGCTTTTAGCCTTTGTCCCATGGAATCCTCGAGGCAAGCCCAAGAAGCAGACGCCAGCTCGACCCCCATTTCAAGTGAGGAAAGGGCCCTGTCACTTCCTGTGTACCCATTCTACCACAGACGCCATATCGGGTGCCTTTATACGGGTCATCTCCAGTCCTACCATAGGGAGGAACTGCCGCTCTTTTGCTGATGAGGAGACTGGAGTTCAGGGAGGCTTAGATACTTGCAGCTACTCAGTGAAGGGGCTCAGGTTCGGTTTTGGTTTTTTATGTGTGTTTATGTGTTGTTTGGGGGTTTTTTGCTTTGTTTTGTGGTGCTGGGGATTGAACCCAGGGCCTCGTGCATGCTGAACACACATTCTATCACTGACGTGCACCCCAGCTGGGGCTCAGATTTGTATCCAGGGTTGTGTGCCAAGTCCTCTCTTCCCCTTTTCTGGGTCCCCATAACACAAGGGCCCCCTCTGCATCTGTGGTTCTTATCATTGTACTTTCTTGGTTTGGGTCATCTGAGTCCACATCTGGGCTAATTCCTTTCTCCCCAGCACTTGCAGAAAGGATGTGGGGTCAGACATTTCTAAAATGCTGTCCCTGTGCCTCCCATGTGCTGTGTGGTTTGGGGCCAGTTCCTTGGTCTTTCTGAGCTCTGACTTCCTTGTCTACGAAATGGTGACAACTATCTCAAAGGGCCCTTGTGAGGTTCTCCTGCAAAGTCTCTAAGGTTGGCCCCCAACAGAGAGTAGCTATGATAAATATCGTCGTCATCATCATCATTGTCATCAGTTTTAATACTCCTCCCGGTCTCTGGGGAGGGCTCTAAACTCCACAGCCCATACCCTCCCTTCCCCCCACCCCAGCTCCTCAGCTGCAGCCCCCAGAGCTGCACCTCACCCCCAGGCCTGCGCTCTCAATAGGCAGGGCCCCAGGGTCAGGCCTCTTTCTGTGGCTCTTTCTTGTCACCAATTTTCCATCTGCGAAGGCGGCTGGGCCCATAGCCCCACCCTGCCAGTAATGAGGCCAGGCTGGGCTGCAGGGCCCCCGGACGCAATTATTTGGGGTGTTTGGGCTGCAGGGCCTCCGCATGTTAATTAGAGAGAGGGGAGAAAGGCAGAGTGCTCTAATTAAGTGCTCTAATTAAGTTCTGAAGAAGAGCAGCAGTTGTAACAAGGGGCTGACTTTGTCACATGGTGCCACAAAAAAAAATTAAATGCAATCTAGGGAGCTTCGGAGTGGCCATTGCAGGAGAGGCGGGGCTAACAAGCCCCAGTTTGGCCTCCCCTCCCACACTCACCCCTTATAGCTACTGACCATTCCCTGTGCAGACTTGGCCCAGAGGATCCGAGGGCAGAGGAACAAAGGACACCCACTGGAAGGTGGCACCTCTCCTAACACCTGCCAGTCTCGTAGTCCCATTTGGCAACTAAGGAGATAGTGGCCTAGAGAGGCTGAGTGACTGACCCCGGGTTATGTGTCACGTTGGTTGGCAGCACTGTGCTCTGGACGGTGCAGGCAAGCACATGGCTGGGTCTGGGTTCATGTGACCTGGGTCACTCAGGTCGCTTGCCCTCTTCTACTCCCTCTCCCACAGGGGGGCAATGATGTCATGTGTGCAAATCATGACCAGAAACATGACACCCGGGCCCCAGGATCCTGAAGAGAGGGGAGGCTCTGCTGTTGGGGCCCTTTGCTGCTTACACAGGTGAAGCCAGCCCAACGCCAAGGGGGACCCAGGAGAAGGAGAGGATGAGCGGCTCCCCTCAGCAAGCTCTCGGGCCCACCAGGGAACCCAGACCAAGGGGGCCGAATGTGCCAGGACCTTGTCCAGGGAGATTGTCCGGGAGGCCTGAGGGGAGTTGGTGGACCCAAGCACAAGCAGCCAGGGGATGGCCTGGTGTGAAGAGGTATAATAAGGGCGCTTGAGGGTGCCGGTGGCTCAGTGACGCAGCACTTGCCTGACACACGCACAGACCTGCGTTCTGTTCCAAGCACTGCAGAAAACAAAAACAGACAAGAAAGGGTGCTTAAAAAGGGCACAGAGTTCACCAGAGGCTCAGCCATGGGCATGAGCTAGGTCTGTGAGTCTGTGTGCAGGGACGTGGGCCCTGCGCCCTTCCCAGCCTCCTGTCACCTGGCCAGCCTTCTGCAGCACAGACTGTCGTTCTCGGTCAAGTTTTTGATGCCCAGGCTGGGATCCCATGGGTGTTGGAGCACCTTTTCTGGGCAAGAAGGAGAGAGAGGGCAGGCAGGTACCTTCTGTGAACTAGAGACCAGGCAGCTCTCTGAGGAATCCAAGCAGCTGAAAGCCCCAGAGAAAGGCCGACTTTCTTGTCACCGTAGCAGATCAATGGGGTGAAGACTGTCTTCCTCCATCAGCCTGGGAGTCCCCAAGGGCAAGGACTGTACCTCCCCGGTCAGACAGGGAGCTCCCAGAGGGCAGAAGTTCTGTCTTCCCCTGGCAGACTGGCAGCCCCCAAGCTCAAAGCCATCTACCTTCATCAGAAGGAGGTCCCTAGGGTGCAGCCCTCCATTTGCCTTGCAGGTGGGAACTTCCTGAGCTCGGGGTCTGTGTCACCTTCAGCAGATTAGTGAACCCCTGACAGCCAGAGCCGCATCTCCCATGTCTACCAGGGGTTACCAAGGGTAGGGCATGTGCTCTTCCCATTGATTGGTAGTAGGCCACTCTTACCGGCCTGGGGAGTTCCTTGGGATCAAGATCACGTCAACCCCATCAAATTGGTACCTCTGTCATCAGACTGGAGGGTCACATAAACAGAGCCGGTGTCTCCCCACAAGACAGGGCATTTCCTGGGGCTGAGCCTCTACCTCCCCGATCTGACTGGCATTTCACCCACAGTGGGAAGAGGTGAGTGGCTATGATGAGAACATGAACACGATCCGCACGTACCAGGTGTGCAACGTGTTTGAGTCGAGCCAGAACAACTGGTTACGGACCAAGTTCATCCGGCGCCGCGGCGCCCACCGCATCCATGTGGAGATGAAGTTCTCCGTGCGTGACTGCAGCAGCATCCCCAGTGTGCCTGGCTCCTGCAAGGAGACCTTCAACCTCTACTACTATGAGGCTGACTTTGACTCGGCCACCAAGACCTTCCCCAACTGGATGGAGAATCCGTGGGTGAAGGTGGACACCATCGCCGCGGATGAGAGCTTCTCTCAAGTAGACCTGGGCGGCCGGGTCATGAAAATCAACACCGAGGTGCGGAGCTTCGGACCCGTGTCCCGCAGTGGCTTCTACCTGGCCTTCCAGGACTACGGCGGCTGCATGTCCCTCATCGCTGTGCGTGTCTTCTATCGAAAGTGTCCCCGCGTCATCCAGAATGGTGCCATCTTCCAGGAGACGCTGTCAGGGGCAGAGAGCACATCGCTTGTAGCTGCCCGGGGCAGCTGCATTGCCAACGCTGAAGAGGTGGACGTGCCCATCAAGCTGTACTGTAATGGAGACGGCGAGTGGCTGGTGCCCATCGGACGCTGCATGTGCAAAGCAGGCTTCGAGGCGGTGGAGAATGGCACTGTCTGCCGAGGTAAGTGGCACAGCAGTGCAGGTCCCCCTGTAACTGCATGGAGTTGGCACTGGTGGAAGGTTTGGGCCTGGCCGCTGGGGCTCACGCTGGTACAGGGAGAGGCTCAGGACCAACCCTGAGGCTGTCTGAGGCAATTTCCTCAACAACCTACAGCACTGCTTAGCTTCCCAGAGGCAGGCCCTTGGTAGCACTTATAAGCATGTAAGATGGGAGGTATACCAGATGACTTGGGTTAGTATAAGGATAATGGCTTTTTGTTCTGATTATTGTGTGATTATTTGTGATGACAAATGGCAGGTCTTTTTCTTCACTTAAAAAAGTAGTATGGTTTCCTAGCAGGATGTGTGGCACACGCCTGTAATCCTGGCACTCTGGGAGGCTGAGGCAGGAGGATCACAAGATTGAGCCCAGCTTGGGCTCATAGCAATTTAGTAAGATCTTATCTCAAAATATAAAAAGAGCTGGTGAGATAGCTTAGTGCAAAGGCTCTGGGTTCAATGCCCAGTTGCAAAAAAAAAAAAAAAAAAAAA